GGGTGGGGGCTGGAGCACTAGCACAGCGGTCGGGGGGGAGGAGGGCGTTTGCCTTGCACGCGGTCCGACCCGGGTTCGATTCCCAGCATCCCACCTGAGCGCTGCCAGGAGTGGTTTTTGGAGTGCCGAGCCAGGAGTGGCCCAAAAAGCAAAAAAGCAAAATAAAATAAAATAAAGAACTCCCTGGGGTCACCACGGGAGGAGGAAGAGGAGGAAGGCCAAACTCCAGGTCCAGGAGCCCCACCCACTCCCTGGACAACCCAGCTCCAGGAAGGCGGGGGGTGGGGAACCCCGGACCTGGAGAAGGCCGGAGCGGGATGCTGAGCGGACAGAACCCCCCGAGCTCGGGCAGGAGCGCGTCCCCGGGTCCGGGTCCGGGTCCGGGTCCGGGTCCGGGGAGCCTTCCAAGCGCCTCTGCAGCGCCGTCGGCTGATCTCGGGGCCTGGGCCGGAAAGATCCGGCTGGAAACAGGCCCCCGGGGCGGGGTCAGCTCACCTGCAGCCCGGGTGGTCGGCGGCGCCAAAGGGGGCCCAGCTGCCAGCCCAGGCGGCCGCGGATGCGCGGATGCTCGGAGACCCGGTGCAGCCGCGGGTTCCGGGTCCGCCTTCCCGGGGGCGCGCCCCGCGCATGCGCCGCGCCGCCCCCGCGCCGTCCCGGGTACCCAGGCGGCAAGTGTCATCCGCCGCGCGCGCCTTGCACCCCGGGATGGATCCTCAGGCCCCTGCCCGGTGGGGAAACGGAGCGTGCACGGCCCGGGAGCCGGGAAAGCCCGATCCCTAGCCAGGATGCTCTGGACGCCAGGGCCAGGCGTAGCTGCCGGCCACTCGGGTCTTTGGCAGACTCGCCTTCAGCTCTGCCCCACTTGCTGGGGGAGGGAGGTCCAAGTTCAGACTTGGCTCTCCTAGGAGTCAGCTCCTAAACGTGGTGCAAAGGACTGAGCCCAGGCTTGTCTGCGGGGAGGCCCGCAAAACCACTCTCCGGCCCGCGGAGGTGGCCCTAGGATCCGTGGGTGCAGGGAAGGACCAACCGAATGAAGACAAGACACAAGAGACAGAGTGCAGCTTAGAAACAGAGAGAAAAGGGACAGGCTTTATTGGGGGATACAGGCTGTTTATATAGGGTCGGGGCAGCCCAGTCAGGAGCAGAAGCAATATGACCATACATGGTCAGGTCAGCAACGAGAGCTTTACCTAACGTTCAAGGTAGACATTTGTACATCAAAGGGTCTTGTGGCAGTAGGTGCACCCTGAGCTTTACATTTGTATATCAAAGGGTCTTAAGGCAGTAGGTGCATCCTGGAGGTTACTATCGATGAGGCCAGATAACTGTCAGCCTGATGTATGTGGCTATGGGTCAGGCGTGCGCTGAGGTCAGGAAGTCCCTGGGAGACTGTCACCAATGTCCCTAACATGGGAACCACGGCCAGGGTCTATGAGAGGGCTCTTGGCTTCCCACACTTGTCTGCTTTCATAGCATTGGCAGTCAGTCGAGGAGACCCCACGCAGCCAGGTGATGGACAGGGCTGGGGGATGAGTGGCTGGGCGCGAGGTGAGCCCAGGTTCGTGGTGGTGAGGTGCCTCCCAAGAACAGACCCGCAAACTGATTTCGTGGCCGTGCCTGCAACTCATTCTGGTTCTCCCTCCCGCACTGGCTACACAAGGCCCCTTTCTCCTCCCATGACAGGCCCTCCTTCAAAAGAGGAAGTCGGTTGTTCAGGGAGTCATGAAGCTGTCCCGAGGGATGCTGTTAGATGCAACAGAACTTTAAGACACGCACACAAGGGTGGACACCTTGTTAAAGGCTGTATCCTCGGTCTGCTTAAAAGCTGCACAGCGGGAAGGGCGGCTGACCTGGGCTTGATCCCAGCACCCTCCACGGTTTCCTGAGCATCCCCAGGAGTAGGCCTTAGGCCCTCCCCCGTATGGCCGCCCCTCCCCCAAGTACTTACCACCTTTCATTAGTCATCAGAGAGCGCTAGGAATCATCAGTCCCACAGCTTCACCATGGATGCACTGTAGCCAAATGCTGGTCTGCTTAAGGCTGGAAGGAGTTTCCCCTGCTCCCCTCCCCCTCCACCTCCCTCTCCTGATTCACGGGTCATTTCCCCTGGTTTGAAGAAAAAGCCCTTGTCTTCAGCACTTCCAAACCTCCCAGCAAGTAACTTTCCTGGACTCAAGTACCTAAACTTTTGAAATGATGCTAACAGCATGTAAGCCACTTGCCTTGCATACAGGTGACCCAAGTTCAATTATCAGCACCTTACATCTCACATGGTGCCCTGGGCCCCCTGAGGAGTGATCCCTGAGCACCCACAGCTACGTCTTATCTAAGTCAATAAAAAAAAAAAGGACTAAGGAACTCAAAGCCCCTCCACAGTCATCGAGGTATCAGAATCTGGAGTATTTAACGAGTCCCTCCAATTCAAGGCCTTTCCACCTATAGGAAATGGTTGTACATGATGCGAATTTCACACATGGGGGACTTTATAGGTAGGGGCCCAAGAGGTAGTACAGCACCCCAAATGGGTTCCTGAACCCCACCAGGAGTGACCCCTGAGCGCACGCCAAACCCAAAGCACATCTGGGCGTGACCCCAAAACTTAAGTTTCTGGGCAAAGGGGCCACACAAACCGCCACAAAGCAGAGGAGGGCACAAGCAGCAAAGCTGCACCCACCTCCCCCTACCAGGAATTCTTCCTGTTCAGGAGCTAGCTACATCAGGTACTCGACACGTTTTCGATTCAAACAGCATGAACTTTATTGAAGTACCAAAACTCTTTCCATCAACAAGGAACTTAGAAAACGGGAATTTCAGCCACTGCTCTGTTTGGCAGCCAGTCTTTTGTCTCTCTCTTCAGCAATGGTGAGGCGAATGCCTTTCCCTCGGGGAAGGGAAATCCACGGTTTGTTGCCTTTGCCAATCACAAAAATATTAGAGAGGCGGGTGGCAAAGCTATTGCCATTGGCATCTTTCACGTGGACAACATCAAAAGAACCGGGATGTCTCTCCCTGTTGGTGATCACACCAATTCTTCCCAGGTTGGCACCGCCGGTCACCATGCACAGGTTTCCAGTGTCGAACTTGATGAAATCGGTAATCTTGCCGGTCTCCAAATCAATCTGAATGGTGTCGTTCACCTTGATGAGGGGGTCAGGGTAGCGAATGGTGCGAGCATCGTGGGTCACCAGGTGAGGGATTCCTTTGGTGCCCACAAAGATCTTTCTCACTTTGCACAACTTGTACTTGGCCTCCTGGGGCGTGATGCGGTGAACGGCAAAGCGTCCCTTGGTGTCATAGACCAGACGGAAGTTCTCTCCGGTTTTATCGATGCTGATGACATCCATGAAGCCCGCAGGGTAGGTGACGTCAGTGCGGACTTTGCCGTCGATCTTAATGAAACGCTGCATGCAGATCTTCTTCACCTCATCTCCGGTCAGCGCGTACTTCAGCCGGTTTCTCAGGAAAATGATGAGCGGAAGACACTCTCTGAGCTTGTGGGGCCCGGTGGATGGCCGAGGAGCAAACACCCCCGTCAGCTTATCCAGCATCCAGTGCTTTGGAGCGGCCACGCGCTTCAGGTGTTTCTTGGGACCGCGAGCCATGGTTGCACTAGGGAGCAACGGCTATTTCCAAGGCGATTCCTTTGCAACCTGATGAAAGGCACAAGATAAAACACGTAAGATTACTAAGAAAGCCAATTCTATTGACATATATCAAACAACTGAACATTAAAAATGTAACATATTGGGCCGGAGCGATAGCACAGCGGGTAGGGTGTTTGCCTGGCAGGTGGCTGACCTGGGTTCGATCCCCGGCATCCCATATGGTGCCCGGAGCACCGCCAGGAGTAATCCCTGAGTGCAAAGCCAGGAGTAACCCCTGAGCATTGCTGGGTGTGACCCCAAAAAAGAATATAAATAAAATAAATTGGCTTCTAAAAAAAAAAAAGACCAAAAAAAACCACTAACATATTAAGTCTAGGGGCTGGAGAGATAGCACAGCAGGTAGGGCATTTGCCTTGCACGCAGCCGACCCAGGTTCGATTCCCAGCATCCCATATGGTCCCCCGAGCACCGCCAGGAGTGACCCAAAAAGCAAGAAAATCAAGTCTATAAGATCCAGGAATGAACTTAATAACTAGCATGTTTAAGTGGCGCACAAACACAAGAATCTGAGATATCCCTAGCATCTCACCGAGTCCTAGGAATGGAAATAACTCAAATATGGAGACTTGGGGGCTATTTCAAATGGAAAGAAACCTACATTTTAAGGTTAATGAAAATGCCGATTTCTTTTTGCTATCCTAGTTCTCAGGTCTCCTTCGGTCTGTACCACCCTCATGCTCGACTAATCCAAGATTTCCGAAGTGGTATGCAATTGGACAGGAGAAAGGAGAGCCAACCAAGAGACCAGCTGCTTGGCGGGACCCGTGGCCGCTGACACCTCTAGAAGCAGACCCCCAAGTCCAAACGTCATCTTCAAATTATTTCGGAAAACCAGTTTATGTCGTTTCTCCTAGGACCACCCTGACTTTAGAGTACTTAATTCTTGAGAAACAAGGTCTTGCAGGGCTCATCTTTCAAAATCTACAGCAGACCCTTTCTTATTCTCTGACTCCACCTTCAGGTATCATTTAGGACCTCCTCTGCAGTAAAAGAAATTCTAAGTAAGTACCCCATATGTGTGGGTGCTCACTGTGCTTCTATGCTGTGGCCATTTTGAATGCGAGCATGTAGCACTCACTGTCCTCCCATTGTGCATCGACTTGCTGGAGCCCTCCCCGGTAACGTCTCCGTCTTGTTGTGACTGCGTTTGGCATCTCGAATATGCCACGGGCACCTTGCTGGGCTCACCGAGAGGGGCGGGGAATCGAACCCGGGCACACCGCCTGCAAGGCCAACGCCCCACCTGCTGCGCTGCGGCTCCAGCCCCACCGAGCACCAACGGAAAATCTGGTTTTTCAAAAATAACAAACATTTCTCCGCAGAGAACTCCAGGTCAAGACCGTGGCAGAAGCCGCAGCAACTTTCTCCCAAGAGCCCCTCCCGTTGCTTCCGCCCTGGTAACGGGCATCCCGTGACTTTATCATTTCTGATTTTCGGCTTTTTTGGGGGGTCACGCCTGGCGATGCTCGGGGGTCACTCCTCCCGCCTCACGCACTCAGGAGTCACCCCTGGCGGTGCTGGGGGACCCGAGGGGGCGCTGGGGATGGACCCCGGGTCTGCCGCGTGCCGGGCAGGCAAACGCCCCCCCCCCCCCCCCCCCCCCCCCCCGCCGTGCTCTCGCTCCAGCCCCACAAGCGCATTTTCCAGGAGTCTCGGTTGACCTGGAAGAAAAAAAAGGCAAAAAAGCTTTCTTTGGACTCCACGGACACCTGGCCTTGCTCCCTGAGCGTCCAAGCTGGGCACAGCGGCCAGTTGACAGGCGGGGGGCGGGGGGGGGGGGTGGGTGCTGCTGCGACTCCTCGGGCGGACCCCTGAGGTCACCGGCACCCCGGGGGGTCGCGACAGGACGGGTAGGCGGGGCCACCTGCCTTCGGGGGGCCTGGAGCAGGCTCAGTTCCCACCCACCAGTCGTCCCGCAGGGTCGGGGCCACGCCGGGCGGGGGGGGGGAGAGGGAGGAGCGGGGGAGGGGCGCGCGGAGGACGGGGGGAGGAGGAGCGGGGGAGGGGGGAGACAGAGAAAGGGGGAGAGGAGAGGGAGGAGCTGGGAGGAGGACGAGGAGCGGGGAAGGGGAGAGGAGGGAGGAGGAGCGGGGGGTGGGGTTAGAAAGGGAGGAGCCGGGGGAGGACGGGGAGAGGAGCCGGGGGGAGGACGGAGAGCGGGGGAGGGGGAGCGGGGGGGGAGAGGAGGGAAGAGGAGGCGGGGGGGGGGAGGACGAAGAGCAGGGGAGGGGGAACCGGGGAGGACGGGGAGAGGGGGAGAGGAGGGGAAGGGGAGCCGGGGGGAGGACGGAGAGAGGGGGAGGGGAGGACGGAGAGCAGGGGAGGGGGAGCGGGGGGAGGACGGGGACAGGAGCGGGGGGAGGACGCAGAGCGGGGGAGGGGGAACCGGGGGGGACGACGGGGGAGGGGGAGAGGGAGAGGAGGGGAGAGGGGGGAGGACGGAGAGCGGGGAGGAGCCGGGGGAGGGGGAGGGGAGCGGAGAAAGGAGGGGCGAGGAAACGCGGGCGGGGGGGCGCGTGGACGGGGCCGGGCCGGGCCGGGCAGGCGGGCGGGGGCCCCGGGGGGCGAGGAGACGCGGGCGGCGGGTGGGCGGGGGGCGCGGGGACCCGGCCCGGGGCGCGCGGGCGGGCGGGCGGGAGGGGGTGGCCGCGGAGCCCGCGCGCCCCCGCCCCTCGGGCCCCGACTCCCTCCCCCCCAGCGCCGCGGGGCCGGCCGGCCGCTCACCTCGGCGAGGCCGCGTCAGGCCAGGCGGCTGCTCGGCGACGCCCGCCGCGGACCGAAGGGGCCGGAGACGCGACGCCGCTCCACGCGCTCCCCTGCGCGCCTTCACTTCCGCCCGGGCGGCGCGGCGCGCTCGCCTTATAAAGCCCCGACCCCGGAAGGGGCGGAACCCCCGCGCCTGGGCGCACGCCCATTGGCGGAGCCCGCCTGCCACTCAGGCCGCGCGCGCTCCCGGCGTCCCGGAAATCCGTGCGCGCGCGGCGGGTCCCGGAAATCCCGGGTCGCGGTCGCTAGCCCGGGCCGAGAGGCGAAAAGGAGGGCGGGAAGTCGCGTCCGGCGCTTCCGGTTTGCCGCTGCGAGCGGCCGCCGGGCGGCAGGGGGCGCTGCGGACCGGAAGTCGGGCGCCGCACGTGACTCGCCGCCGGGCCGGGCTCAGCCCCGCAGGCGTCGCACGCGGCGGGTCCCGGTTCTGACCCGGAAGCCCCGAGCCCCCGGCCGCGGACCCGAGCCCAGGACGCCGCCGCTGTCCCGGCCTGTCCCTGCGTCCCCCCGGGGCACGAGGTGGCCCCGGACCGGCCCCCTCGGCGAGCAGTGACGTTGCCGAAGGCGCCACAGCCCAGCGGGGAGGGCGTTGGCCTTGCACCTGGCCGACCCGGGTTCGAGTCCCAGCACCCCAGGTGGTCCCCTGAGCACCCGCCAGGAGCAGTTCCCGAGTGCATGAGCCAGGAGGGACCCCTGAGCATCGCCCCGTGTGACCCAAAATGCAAAAAAAAATCAGACACGAGGAGCTGGAGCAATAGCACAGCGGGCTGGGCCACCCGGGTTCGAGTCCCAGCATCCCAGGTGTTGCCCTGAGCACCCGCCAGGAGCAGTTCCCGAGTGCATGAGCCAGGAGGGACCCCTGAGCATCGCCCCGTGTGACCCAAAATGCAAAAAAAAATCAGACACGAGGAGCTGGAGCAATAGCACAGCGGGCTGGGCCACCCGGGTTCGAGTCCCAGCATCCCAGGTGTTGCCCTGAGCACCCGCCAGGAGCAGTTCCCGAGTGCATGAGCCAGGAGGGACCCCTGAGCATCGCCCCGTGTGACCCAAAATGCAAAAAAAAATCAGACACGAGGAGCTGGAGCAATAGCACAGCGGGCTGGGCCACCCGGGTTCGAGTCCCAGCATCCCAGGTGTTGCCCTGAGCACCCGCCAGGAGCAGTTCCCGAGTGCATGAGCCAGGAGGGACCCCTGAGCATCGCCCCGTGTGACCCAAAATGCAAAAAAAAATCAGACACGAGGAGCTGGAGCAATAGCACAGCGGGCTGGGCCACCCGGGTTCGAGTCCCAGCATCCCAGGTGTTGCCCTGAGCACCCGCCAGGAGCAGTTCCCGAGTGCATGAGCCAGGAGGGACCCCTGAGCATCGCCCCGTGTGACCCAAAATGCAAAAAAAAAATCAGACACGAGGAGCTGGAGCAATAGCACAGCGGGTTGGGCCACCCGGGTTCGAGTCCCAGCATCCCAGGTGTTGCCCTGAGCACCCGCCAGGAGCAGTTCCCGAGTGCATGAGCCAGGAGGGACCCCTGAGCATCGCCCCGTGTGACCCAAAATGCAAAAAAAAATCAGACACGAGGAGCTGGAGCAATAGCACAGCGGGCTGGGCCACCCGGGTTCGAGTCCCAGCATCCCAGGTGTTGCCCTGAGCACCCGCCAGGAGCAGTTCCCGAGTGCATGAGCCAGGAGGGACCCCTGAGCATCGCCCCGTGTGACCCAAAATGCAAAAAAAAATCAGACACGAGGAGCTGGAGCAATAGCACAGCGGGCTGGGCCACCCGGGTTCGAGTCCCAGCATCCCAGGTGTTGCCCTGAGCACCCGCCAGGAGCAGTTCCCGAGTGCATGAGCCAGGAGGGACCCCTGAGCATCGCCCCGTGTGACCCAAAATGCAAAAAAAAATCAGACACGAGGAGCTGGAGCAATAGCACAGCGGGCTGGGCCACCCGGGTTCGAGTCCCAGCATCCCAGGTGTTGCCCTGAGCACCCGCCAGGAGCAGTTCCCGAGTGCATGAGCCAGGAGGGACCCCTGAGCATCGCCCCGTGTGACCCAAAATGCAAAAAAAAATCAGACACGAGGAGCTGGAGCAATAGCACAGCGGGCTGGGCCACCCGGGTTCGAGTCCCAGCATCCCAGGTGTTGCCCTGAGCACCCGCCAGGAGCAGTTCCCGAGTGCATGAGCCAGGAGGGACCCCTGAGCATCGCCCCGTGTGACCCAAAATGCAAAAAAAAATCAGACACGAGGAGCTGGAGCAATAGCACAGCGGGCTGGGCCACCCGGGTTCGAGTCCCAGCATCCCAGGTGTTGCCCTGAGCACCCGCCAGGAGCAGTTCCCGAGTGCATGAGCCAGGAGGGACCCCTGAGCATCGCCCCGTGTGACCCAAAATGCAAAAAAAAAATCAGACACGAGGAGCTGGAGCAATAGCACAGCGGGCTGGGCCACCCGGGTTCGAGTCCCAGCATCCCAGGTGTTGCCCTGAGCACCCGCCAGGAGCAGTTCCCGAGTGCATGAGCCAGGAGGGACCCCTGAGCATCGCCCCGTGTGACCCAAAATGCAAAAAAAAATCAGACACGAGGAGCTGGAGCAATAGCACAGCGGGCTGGGCCACCCGGGTTCGAGTCCCAGCATCCCAGGTGTTGCCCTGAGCACCCGCCAGGAGCAGTTCCCGAGTGCATGAGCCAGGAGGGACCCCTGAGCATCGCCCCGTGTGACCCAAAATGCAAAAAAAAAATCAGACACGAGGAGCTGGAGCAATAGCACAGCGGGCTGGGCCACCCGGGTTCGAGTCCCAGCATCCCAGGTGTTGCCCTGAGCACCCGCCAGGAGCAGTTCCCGAGTGCATGAGCCAGGAGGGACCCCTGAGCATCGCCCCGTGTGACCCAAAATGCAAAAAAAAAATCAGACACGAGGAGCTGGAGCAATAGCACAGCGGGTTGGGCCACCCGGGTTCGAGTCCCAGCATCCCAGGTGTTGCCCTGAGCACCCGCCAGGAGCAGTTCCCGAGTGCATGAGCCAGGAGGGACCCCTGAGCATCGCCCCGTGTGACCCAAAATGCAAAAAAAAATCAGACACGAGGAGCTGGAGCAATAGCACAGCGGGCTGGGCCACCCGGGTTCGAGTCCCAGCATCCCAGGTGTTGCCCTGAGCACCCGCCAGGAGCAGTTCCCGAGTGCATGAGCCAGGAGGGACCCCTGAGCATCGCCCCGTGTGACCCAAAATGCAAAAAAAAAATCAGACACGAGGAGCTGGAGCAATAGCACAGCGGGTTGGGCCACCCGGGTTCGAGTCCCAGCATCCCAGGTGTTGCCCTGAGCACCCGCCAGGAGCAGTTCCCGAGTGCATGAGCCAGGAGGGACCCCTGAGCATCGCCCCGTGTGACCCAAAATGCAAAAAAAAAATCAGACACGAGGAGCTGGAGCAATAGCACAGCGGGCTGGGCCACCCGGGTTCGAGTCCCAGCATCCCAGGTGTTGCCCTGAGCACCCGCCAGGAGCAGTTCCCGAGTGCATGAGCCAGGAGGGACCCCTGAGCATCGCCCCGTGTGACCCAAAATGCAAAAAAAAATCAGACACGAGGAGCTGGAGCAATAGCACAGCGGGCTGGGCCACCCGGGTTCGAGTCCCAGCATCCCAGGTGTTGCCCTGAGCACCCGCCAGGAGCAGTTCCCGAGTGCATGAGCCAGGAGGGACCCCTGAGCATCGCCCCGTGTGACCCAAAATGCAAAAAAAAATCAGACACGAGGAGCTGGAGCAATAGCACAGCGGGCTGGGCCACCCGGGTTCGAGTCCCAGCATCCCAGGTGTTGCCCTGAGCACCCGCCAGGAGCAGTTCCCGAGTGCATGAGCCAGGAGGGACCCCTGAGCATCGCCCCGTGTGACCCAAAATGCAAAAAAAAAATCAGACACGAGGAGCTGGAGCAATAGCACAGCGGGTTGGGCCACCCGGGTTCGAGTCCCAGCATCCCAGGTGTTGCCCTGAGCACCCGCCAGGAGCAGTTCCCGAGTGCATGAGCCAGGAGGGACCCCTGAGCATCGCCCCGTGTGACCCAAAATGCAAAAAAAAATCAGACACGAGGAGCTGGAGCAATAGCACAGCGGGCTGGGCCACCCGGGTTCGAGTCCCAGCATCCCAGGTGTTGCCCTGAGCACCCGCCAGGAGCAGTTCCCGAGTGCATGAGCCAGGAGGGACCCCTGAGCATCGCCCCGTGTGACCCAAAATGCAAAAAAAAATCAGACACGAGGAGCTGGAGCAATAGCACAGCGGGCTGGGCCACCCGGGTTCGAGTCCCAGCATCCCAGGTGTTGCCCTGAGCACCCGCCAGGAGCAGTTCCCGAGTGCATGAGCCAGGAGGGACCCCTGAGCATCGCCCCGTGTGACCCAAAATGCAAAAAAAAATCAGACACGAGGAGCTGGAGCAATAGCACAGCGGGCTGGGCCACCCGGGTTCGAGTCCCAGCATCCCAGGTGTTGCCCTGAGCACCCGCCAGGAGCAGTTCCCGAGTGCATGAGCCAGGAGGGACCCCTGAGCATCGCCCCGTGTGACCCAAAATGCAAAAAAAAATCAGACACGAGGAGCTGGAGCAATAGCACAGCGGGCTGGGCCACCCGGGTTCGAGTCCCAGCATCCCAGGTGTTGCCCTGAGCACCCGCCAGGAGCAGTTCCCGAGTGCATGAGCCAGGAGGGACCCCTGAGCATCGCCCCGTGTGACCCAAAATGCAAAAAAAAATCAGACACGAGGAGCTGGAGCAATAGCACAGCGGGCTGGGCCACCCGGGTTCGAGTCCCAGCATCCCAGGTGTTGCCCTGAGCACCCGCCAGGAGCAGTTCCCGAGTGCATGAGCCAGGAGGGACCCCTGAGCATCGCCCCGTGTGACCCAAAATGCAAAAAAAAAATCAGACACGAGGAGCTGGAGCAATAGCACAGCGGGTTGGGCCACCCGGGTTCGAGTCCCAGCATCCCAGGTGTTGCCCTGAGCACCCGCCAGGAGCAGTTCCCGAGTGCATGAGCCAGGAGGGACCCCTGAGCATCGCCCCGTGTGACCCAAAATGCAAAAAAAAATCAGACACGAGGAGCTG